GGCTAGTGAGGAAAGCTAAGATCAACAAAAATGATTAATATCAGGGTTGATAGGCAGGATAATATGAGAACATCTATTTCTCCTTCATCATTTCAGTCATCCAGTCTAAATGAACTACTATTTTGTTATCTTGGCTAGAGATAAGCAGAAGACGGGAAGAAAGAAAATGAAGATATTTTCTTTCTTTATAAAACTATTAAGATTAAATTTGGGAATAAGCCAAAAAGAAGGGTCAGGTAACAGCCAAGTGAGGTTGGTTGACCCAAATAATCATGCCACGACTAGTATTTGTATATATGTGTTCTTAATCCTAACTACTATAAGTCTATTACATATAAAATGTGACACAGAAATTGTAAATTTGAGTATATTTAAGTATGCTTAAAATATACTTCCTAGTATAATTCAAAGATAAGACAATGGAAGGAAAAGAAGGAAGTCAGAGTAAACTAATGAGAGAGAGAAAAGCCTGTATTTGTGGCCATGGGAATTGACTACTTTAATATGTTAAGTGATAAATTTGTGAGGAATTGCTAATACTTTGGATGATAGAATAAGGGTAAAAAGATCTCAATAGTCTCGAATAGTGAACAACAGTGGCCTTCTACCAAGGTAAAACTGTCTCTCTAAAATTTCCATCCATTGATCTTATTTCTTGTCTTTGGGGGTGGGAGGATAAGCAAAACAAGTTTAATATCTCTTCTTCATGGCAGCCTTTCAAATATTATATACACATATACAAATACAAATAGCTATCATGCCCCATTTAAAGTCTTCTCTTCTCCAGGGTAGCCATAGAACTCATGTAAATCCTTCCTAGAATGTGGTCTACATTTAGATGTTGTTGAACAGCAAAAAATATAGTGGGGATATCACAAAATCTCAGAGTTGGCAAGGACTCCAGGAGAATGTCAGCATAAATCTCTTGAACATCATTCCAAACAATTGTCATGATGTTTTGGTCCAAATGTGAAATGTGTAGAAGTTAACTAAAATTGGAAAAAAATAATCTATTTAGATTGAAGAATGAGAGGTATCATGATGTAGAGGGGAAACGCACTGGACATAGAAATGTAAAGCCTGGGTTTGGCTCCCATACTCATAATAATTACTAGTTTAGTGACCCTTTTTAAGTCAAAACCTCCTTGGATCTCATATTCCTCATCTGTAAGATGGGAAGAATAAGACTATTCACCTCAAAAATTGGAAAAGCTCTTTGTAACTGACCAAAATTTATCAAACATTGGAAAGAAAGAAAGAAGGAAAGAAGAAAAGATAGAAAGAAGAAAGGAAGGAGAGAGAAAGAAAACAAGCATTTACTATGTGCCAGACATTGTGCTAAGGTTTTACAAATATTGTCTCACTTAATCCTCACAACAATGCCAGGAGGTAAGTACTATTATTATACCAATGATTCATTTGAAGAAACTGAAGTTGAGGTTAACTGACTTGCCGAGGGTCACAAGGGTAGTAAATGTGTGAGCTGGATTTGAATTCAGGTTTTCCTGACTCCAGGCCCAGTGCTCTGTTCACTGTGCTACCTAGCCTTCATGAATATAAGTTCATTTTTGAAGAGGACCCATTACATCATGGGATGATGTCTTGACTTGTGTGTGAATTGGATTTAAGTGAGGCAGAGTTGCACAAAGTCATTAGCCTCACTCTCTCTTCAAGAGTCATCAAAGTCAGCATACATCAAAAAAACCTGAAAAGACTTGTATGGACTCTTGCTGAGTGCAGTAAGCAGAACCAGGAGAGCATTTGTGTACAATAACAGCCACATTGTGTGATGACTAACTTTGATTGACTTAGCTCTTCTCAGCATGCAAGGATCTAAGACATCTCCAAAAGTCTCATGATGGAAAATGTTATCTATATCCAGAGAAAGAACTATGTAGTTGGAATGCAGATTGAAGCATACTATTTGCTTTTTTTTCCTCTTCTGTTTTATTTTGTTTCTTCTTTCTTGTGGTTCCTCCAATTGGTTCTAATTCTTCTTTAGAACATGACTAACATGAAAATATGTTTAATAGGAACATATATGTAGAGCTTATATCAGATTGCATTCTGTCTTGTGGAGAGAGTCTGGGAGGGAGGAAAAGAAAATTTAAAACTCAAAAGCTTATGGAAGTGGATGTTGAAAATGAAAAATAAATTAATTTAAAAAAAGAAAAGATGTGGAAAACTGCATATGATAGTTTTTGGTATATTGATTAGTTTTTCTAAACTGTTATTTCTCCTTTTTTGCTTATACCAATTTTTTATTCTTTGTTATAAGAGATGCTCTATGTAGCAGTGGGATACATTTGAAACACATAGGTGAAAGCTGTCAATAAATGTTGTTTAAAAACAACAACAAAAAAAAGAGTCATCAAAATCCAGTGGCAAGACAAAAGTTAAGATGACTGGCAATGGCCCAAGATGCAGTGGATGTCCTTGGCATCTTCGATGTCTGACCAAACCCTCCACAGTGCCTGTTTCAGTTGCCTTCATGGCTGTTGAAAAAAATTGTTCTCATCGACCCATTTAGCAGGGGAAGTCTTCACATGCTCGGAGTAGAAAGCTAGCATTTATATAGCTCTTTACAAATATTATTTCTTTTTACTTTTACAACAACACTGAGAGGCAGATACTATTATTATCCCCATTTTACAGATTAGGAAACAGAGGCAGAGAGAGGTGAAGTAATATTTCCAGAGTAACACAGTAAATATCTGAGGCCAGATTGAACTCAGGTCTTCCTAATTCCAGGACCAGTGTTCAATCTACTGGCAGACAGTCAGTCCACAAGCATTTTCTAATTTCTTACTATGTGCCAAGTACTTAGGAATACAAGTACAAGTAGAAAGAAAGATAGTCCCTGGCTTCAAGGAGCTTATATTCCAATGGAGGGAAGATAACACATAGAAGGGAGCTGAAATGAGCCAGGGTAGGGAGGCAGAGGAAAGTACCTGGCTGAGGTACATGGCAGAGAAATTTCTGTGGAGATGAGTGAGCAGCACACCCTGAAGAAGGATAAAGGTATCTTTGGTCTGGGCCTTCTCCTTAAACTGGAGGCTTTTGGGGGAACCAGCCAATCAGAAAGTGGAGATTAATTCCATTGTCAGAAGTAGTCCAGGGTGGTGTGAGCTTCCATGGTGAAGAGGTGCCATGATAGCCCAAGTTCTGTAGAGATGAGTCAGCAGTGCAGTCCAGAAAGGGATAAAGATTGCATTACCTAGTTGCCTGTAATATGTATGTGTGTGGTCTTCCTTTTTTTGTTTGAATTAAACTAGAACACTATCATCAAATGGTTGTTGTGTATGGCATTGTGGTTGTTGCTAAGAATGGAAAAATGTATGATGTTCTCAAGGAGCTGACAATTTACTTGGAGATAAAAGGGATGTTTAATGTATAAAAGACTAACTCACAAAAAAGACAAACCGCAGTTAAAGTGTGAAATTATATATATAAGAGTAGTACACATAAGTGTAGCATTTCCTTGAGACATGCATGATTTAGGGGCCCTCCTTCCCTCCTAGCACTATGAATGCTTCCTATCACCCATTATGACATTTTTCAATTGGCTGTCAAGCCAGAAATACATGGATACGCTGAAAAAAAGCAACCTTTACCCCTCAGAGTCTCTTCCACCTGCTGGCCTTGAGATATAAAGATGACCCTCTGAGCTCTGAAGGGTTGGTGGGGGGATGCCCTCTCCCCAAATGGGCCACAGGCCCATGACTTCCTATACAAGCTTATATCTGGTCGCCTCTTGGTTCTGTTTTCTTTCTTTTAGTCTTTGTAAGGTCTCCAAAGGAAGCTGGTGTCCCTAGGCAGCTGACCAGAAAGATACTGGCTCCCAGATCAGCTTGCATTTGTGCAGATTAAGCTGTACTCAACAGAGCAGAAATGTAAACTAGCTAATAAACCAGTCTTGCAAAGAAGTTGTTTGCAAATGACCCAACAAGGCTTGAATACAATTAGCCTCTGAATTGATCATAATCATAATATCATTATTGTTTAGAATGACCTTTTCTGTGTGTGGGAATAAGACTGTTTGTTCCATAACCTGATTCACGTTTGTGTGCTGGGTATCTGTATATGGAACCCTTGCCACCTGTTTTCCCCCACCCCAAACAGAATTGTTCTTCAGGAATCTGAGGGGAGAGTAGAATTAGGGTTCTGGGAAACCAGTGTTCTATTCTCTTATTGAGGAATCAGGCAACCACAGAGTAATAAATGAATCCAGGGCAAACCTTGAGGGTAAGGAAACAATATGAATTTGCAAATAATAATGCTAACATTCATACAGCATTTACAATTATTATCTCATCTGGCCCTCACAAACAACTCTGGAAAGCAGGTGCTTTTATTTCCTCCATTTTGTAGATGAGGAAACTCAGGCAAACAGAAGTTAAATGATTTGTTCCAGGGACACCATGCTAATAAGTTATCTGAGGCCAGATCTGAACCCAGGTCTTCCTGACTTCAGGGCCGGCACTCTATCGGCTGGGCCACCTAGCTGCCCCTTAGAGCTAATATTCTATCCATTCTACCACACTTTCTCCTTAAACAGCTAAATGAATTGCACAAATAGTAAGTACAGGGGTGAGGAGGTGGGAGGTATTGATACCTTACAGAGATGGAATTTTATCATTCTTTGGCATCAGTTGAGACAGCAATACTTTAACATACCTGTAATATCATTGAGACATTTCTGTCTTAATACGTATCACTGGAAGGGTCTAAAATTACAAATAAGAATATCATATTAATAATAATTATAAGAGAAATAATAATAATAATAATACTATCCCTACTCACCTCAGAAATATAAAAGCTTTTTGATCTGTTTTTAGAATGGTGTTTTATTCAATTCAATAAAACAAACATTTGCCAAATGTCAGCCATTGTACTGGGTATACAAAGGTAAAAATGAAATAGTCCTTACACTCAAGAAGCTTACATTCTGATATTTTTTTGGAAAAGTAAATAAAGTAAAGCATTTGAGATAATCATTTCCTTAAATATGTAATTATACAAGTTTATTTAATAAGAAGATTTGATTTTAGCTTGTATCATGGGGTATACATCCTTCTATCTGTATTTCAGCTGGCCAATCCATGTATCTGTTTCTGCTGCCATCAGAATGGTTGATCTGTTTAGAAAGAAAATGTACACATTCGATTATTTATTCAACAAACATTTATTCAGTGCCTATTCAGGGAAGAGCAGTATACATAATTTCTTAGGAGGGGATCTGCTGCGGCCTAAATATCGGCAACTGAGTTATCATCAGTCTGTTGCTGGAAATAATCAGGTTATGGTTGAATTCAATTAAAGGAACGTTTCTTGATTACATATTCTGTGTAAGGAGCCGGGCCATGCCTGCTGGAGGACACAAAGATGAATACACTAAGTTGGAAGACTAAGTTCTAGTCCTGATTCTGCTGCCGACTACCGTTACAACCTTGGTTAAATGACTTCACATTTTTGGCCCTTGGCTTCCTTATCTTTAAAATAAATGGGTTGTACTATATGATTTTTAATGTCCTTATAGACTATAACATTCTATGATGCTCCTTTAATAGAACAGGCATAGTGGTATGAAAATCTATAATGTTGAGAGAAAAATACTGAAGAATACTGAGCAGTTGAATCTGGCTAATGAGTGCAGTTATGTGAAATAAGGTACGTTGGAAACATGGGATGTCAAGATATTTGAAAGGCATGGAATGATGTATATTCTGAATATTCCTATATATCATGAAGATTGTTTTGGCAACAGTGTGAAATACGACTTGAAGTAGCAAGACACTGGATGGTCAGTCTGGGGCCCTGGTTATTACTAGTGAGGAACTGAACTACAGAGGTGAGAGGAGGAGAAGAAAAGAGGGAAAAGAGATGACAGATCTTTTGGAGGTAGAATTAATATGACTTGGTAACTAAGTGGATGTAAGGGTAGACACAAGGATGACTTCGAAGTCATAAGTCTGGGTAACTGAGAAAATGGTAGTGCCCTAAATAGAGATATTGAAGTTAAGTTGAGGAACAAGTTTTGAGAGGATGAGTTCTTTCTGGATATGCTAAATCTGAAGTATTGGTGGAATAGTGAAAAGGAAAAATGGCTGGAAGATGTGTTAATCAATTGCCCTACAACACACCCCATATAACTCCTTTGAATAAAGGCATTCCTTTCCGCTACATAAATTGTCTTCCTATTTTGGAATGTACGGTCTTCAAGGCTGGCTTTTCATCCCCAGTGCTTAGTACAATAAATTCTTTTCATTCATTCATTCGAGGTGTGGGGGAAGAGCCAAGAACAGAATGTTGTGGTCTGTCCACAGTTGTGAACATAATGTCGTTAATGATCCAACAAAAGGACCCTAAGAGGAAGCAGTCAGAAAGGTAGGAGGAGAACCAAGAAGGATGAGGTTCAAGAAAACATCTCATTGGGCAATGAAACAATCCCTGGCAACGTGGGAGAGGGAAGTTTCAGCTGAGTGATGAGATTAAAACTCAGATTACAAAGAACTGAAGTATGAAAAAGAAAAGAAAAAGTGGAGGCAACAAGTTTAAACAGCTTATCCTAGGAATTTGGCTGAGAAAAGAAGGAAAATAGGTTAGTGAAAATAAGATCTAGTGAGACTTTTTTTTTGATAGGGAGATTTGGGCATGTTTATAGGCAAAAGGGAAGGAGCCAGTAGATAGAGACTGAAGATTTGAAAAAAGAGGGGATAACAGGAAGGGCAATCTGGAAAAGATAGGAAGTATGATGGGATCAAGGGTACATGTAGAAGGTTGGCCTAGAGCAGCGGTGTCAAACTCAAATGGAAGCAGAGGGATCCTTGTGGGCCACGTATTGACTTCATTTAAAAATGTAATGTTATCTGTTTTAATGTTTTTAAATTTCATTTTGTTAGATATTTCCCATTTACGTTTGAATCTGATTCAGGCCACATTTGAGAGTATTGCAGGTCACATATATGACACCTCTGGATTAGTGTAGGGGGCTGTATCATCATTGGAGAAGCTGGAGTAAAGGAAGAGATGGTGTGGATCGTGAGATGACAAGAAGGGGAGAAGAGGAAGCTCTGGTCCTAGGTCTTAGGGCGTTTTTTTTCTCTCTATACTCTCTCACCACACAACCTCATTAGTTCTCATGGATTCAATTATCATCTTTATGCAGATGACGCCACAATCTCTATATCTAATTGAAAGTTTTAGAGGCATCTAGGTGCACAGTGGCTAGAGCACTCCTCCTGGAGTCAGGAAGACCTAAGTTCAAATTCAGCCTCAGACACTTACTAGGCATGTGACCCTAGGCAAGTGATTTAACTTTTGTCTGTCTCAGTTTTCTCAACTTTAAAATGGGGATAATAATAGCATTTACCTCCCTAGGTTGTTGTGAGCATCAAATGAAATAATATTTATAAAGTGCTTAACACATTGCTTGGCACGTAGCTGTTGTTTTAATCTTTTTTTCAGTTGTGTCTGACCTTCATGACCTCATCTGGGGTTTCCTTGGCAAAGATACTGAAGTGGTTTGCCATTTCCTTCTCCAGCTCTTTTTTTTAACAGGTGAGAAAACTGAGGCAAACAGGGTTCAGAGATTTGCCCAGGATCACACAGCTAGTAAGTGTCCAAGGTAGGATTTGAACTTGGGAAGATAAATCTTCCTGACTCCAGTCCTGGCACTCTAGCTATCGTGCTACCTAGCTGCCCATTGGTACCTAGTGGGCACGTGATAAATGCTTATCCTCCCATGCTCCAATCCTATGTTACTAATTCCATATTGGACATTTTAAGTCGTATATGCGTAAGGCAACTTAAATCCAACATGGCCAAAACAGAACTCCTTATTTTTCACCCTATACCTCTCCTCTTCAGAACCTTACTATTACTTTTCTTGGTACTGACATTCTGCCTGTCCCTCAGGTTTTCAACCTTATTGTCATCTTTCGACTCATTTACCACTTATATCTGATCAGTTGCCAAATCTTATCATTTCTTCCTGCATAAATCTTTTGTATAGTCAGTCTCCTTTTATCTACTCAAGCAGTCACTACCCTATTGCCAGAGCTTTCTACTCTAATACATATTCTACTCAAAATGATTTTCCTAAAGCTCAAGTCTGAGTATGTCACCCCATATTCAATGAACTCCATTTGGGCCTGTTGCCAATAGAATCAAACACAGATTCTTCTGTTTGACATTTAAAATTTCTCACAACTTGGTATTATTCTAGGCAACTAGGTGGTACAGTGGATATCATGTTGGCCTTGAAGTCAGGAAGGCCTGAATTCAAATTCTGCTTCAGACACACACAGCTGTGTGATCCTAGTCAAGTCACATAAACTCTTTCAGTCTTAGTTTCTTAATTTGCAAAGTGAAGATAACAAATACCATCTACCTCACAGGCTTGTTTTAAGGATTGAATGAGATAACCATTTATAAGGTGCTTTACAAAACTTTAAAGCACTATATAAATACTAGCTATTATTACTGTTATTGCTAGTATTATTAATTATTATTATTATCCTACCTTCCCAACCTTCCTACAGATTGTGATTTTCTACGTTAGGTGATTTGGAAACGCATTCAACTTAATTGAGGTCACCTGACTGGTTTTGTTTCAATTTTCAAATCTATCACTTCTAAAAATGATGGAGCTTTGTGAAAGATTTTATGCATTACTCCACTTAGAAGACTGAATGCCTTCCTCCAATGGAAACACTCCTTCATGAAAACCAGGATGTAAATAGGAATTTGTTCACATCTTTAAGCAACTTAGTCTTAATAGATCTCAGTCTTAAAATGTCACTATTATGGTATTTTTAGATACACTGCATCTTCATACCAAGTGTGACTTATGTTAGGTCCAGCCTTAATGAGGTACCTTCTACCTTTGTTTTTTTCTTTCCTCTCTGAAAGGTAATTAAGGTCTAAGCCTCTAAGTCAGGCTTGTACAACCTGTGGCCTGCATGCATGCCAAGGATTTCGGCTGGCCCATGAAAAATGTAGAGGAAGTTTTCCTCTACATTTTTCATGGACTGCCTGAAATCTTTGGTGGGCTGCAGGTTGTGCAGGCCTGCTCTAAGTCTACTCCAATATTGAAATACTTATAAGCATCCCTGGTATGTATACCTGCTCAAGAAATCTCTGATGACCATTTTTACAATTAATTTCTAATGAAAATGCAAAATGATGCTGCTAAAAGCATATTATACATTTAATTAAATCAAGATGGCTAATGAAGTTAGCTTTCATTGCTGCTCTATGCGCTGATGCCAAATGATTTATAAGTCATAAAGACATTTCAATCAGTTCAGTAATGCTGCATGCCTGTTGTTCCTGACAGCATGGATCAGTAAGTTCTTCATTGAATGCCTTGCAATAATTTAAAATTAATTTGCAGATGTAAGATGCTGTATTAAAAAGTAGAGTTCAATTCTATAATAAATATGTATGCACATATATATGTATACATACACACACACAAAAGCAAAACCTAAAGAATCATCTATTCCTTTTGACAATGTGGTTGTAGATTTGCAGCCTAAGAAATTATATGTACATTTTGCCACTATTCATTGTCACATAGATGTTTAACAGTGTTGCCAAATCATTCAAATATTTTCATGGAAGAAGCTGCTCTGAGAACCTGCCCATTCCAGAATTCCTGGGAGGGGAGGTTTCTAGAAGACCAGATGACTGCAGTAGGAGATGTTCTCAAAAAACAGACAGTTGCATGAGATGTCTGAGCCCGGAGATATGAGGGGCAGATACAATGGACAGTGGGAGCGAGATATCCTCCCTTTCACTTCTTTCTCTTGTGTCATTGTTCTTTGTAAAACCTGCTTTGTGAAGGGGACTACCCCCCAACTGTTCCCGGCAATGCATTGGTCACCTCAATGTCTCCCTTGGTCAACAATGGAATTTGTCTTTACCAAGATGGAGAATGCTGAATCCAGCTGACCATGCCTGATTCCAGGGCTTCAGATTTCCTGAGGGAAATTGAAACCAGAGCTTCCCCCAGTTTTCTCTATGGTCTTTCGGCTATTATGTAAAATAGCTTATATAGAAGCTTCTAGGTTGTTCCTCTCTTAAGACTCCCTCCGGATTGAAATGTATTTATATTTAACCCTGCCCCCCTCCACCCCTCTTGGGTACTCTTGCATCCTGGTGCTACACCCTGGCCCTGAGTTGCAATTCCTTTGCCTTGGTTAAAAGACCCTAGGTTTTTGTTTTTATTTTTATTTTTTTTTTCTGTTTTGGCAGTCTTGTTTATTTCAAGTTGACACTTTCTAAACTTAGTTTAAGTACCACCTTCTTGTTATTTAGTTGTGTTTAACTGTTTGTGACCTCATAGACAATAGCATGCTGGGCCCTTCCGTCCTCCACTATTTCCCAAAGTTTGTCCAAACTCATGTTCATTGCTTCCATGACACTATCCATCCGTCTTATCCTCTGCTGTCACTTTCTCCTTTTGCCTTCAATCTGTCCCACCACTGGGGTCTTTTCCAATGAGTCCTGTCTTTTCATATATGTGGTCAAAGTATTTAAGCTTCAACTTTAGTATTTGTCCTTCCAATGCATAATCGTGCATTAGTTTCTTTAAGTATAGACTGATTTGATCTCCTTTCCACGTAAGGTTTTTCTTTGGTTCCCAAACTGCTAGTGCTTTCCCTTCCTAGAATGTTTTGTATGTGTTCTGTATATACCTATATATGCATATTTTGTCTCCACATTAGAGTGTAAGTTCCTTGAGGACCTAGATTGTTTTACTTTTGTGTTTGTATCCTCAGGACTTGTTCTCGACACTTAGAGAATGCAGCAAGAAAAGGCTAGGCTGCTCGCTTGCTGCAGGGAGTCATAGTTTTGATGTAATAGATCACCAGTACTTGATATAAAATTTGAGCAGGAAGGTTATCCTTAAGGATGGAAATAATCTTCTCATTCCTTGTGAACAAAGTGACGTCCAGATAGAATATGTGATTTATATAGATTTTTTAAAAATTTGAAACACCAGAGAAATTTGCCATGGCAAAGTAGAAAGACAATAGGATTTTGAAGATTCACTGCAACTTGAGGAACCTTGTGATTTTGAAAAAATCACAGACCTTTATGTGCTTCCAATTTCTCATCAAGATTGATGACAATGAACACAAAATATCAAATCTGTCATGAAGTCAAATTAGATAAACAATGTTAAAGTGGTTTTTAACCATAAAATGCTGTATAAATGTAAGCTACTGCTGTTGTTAGCATTCCTATTGTTATGACTGCAACAAACCTTGATTTTAGATAGGAGTTGGGGGGAGGGTAATAGAACTAACACATGTTTTATAAGTTAATCAGGCTATTAAGTCTTTTACTTTGTTATTTTATTGCTTTGTATTTATTTTGGTGGGCCCTAGGAAGGGAGTGGCACAAATTACTGATATACTATAACATTTTGTCGAAATTGTGTGTAAAAGATGATTAAAAACAAAAACCCCACCTACCTTTTCTCTTTGAATATTTTCAGGGAAGTCGACACCTTTTCCTCCAAGAAATACCCAACTTGACCTGAATTGTATATTTTTTATTTCCTTACTGCCCAAATCTTCTACGGCATTTTTGGTATCATTTTTTAATCTGCATAATAAAGAGGAAAATATATCATCATTTAATGTTTGAGACATATAACACTTTATCCTAGAAGTAATCGAAGTGCCTAAAGAGCTGTATCTCGAGTATCTTATAGTCAATTGTATTTATCGTTCATTGAAGTTTTCTCAACTATATGATCTTTTATTTCATATACAACAAAATCCCCTTTCATGAAAGCTGGTTACTCATATATCTTTGTTTGTCTTTCCCCAACATGGCAATGTCATAATGTTTACATTTCAGTTGTCCTGTTTATCTCTTATGGTTTCAATTCCTAATTGATAAGGCTGGTACTCATGTATATAAATGTCACATTTCTTCCTTTCTGTCTCAAAGGAAGAGGGTCTTGTGAAGGCTATTCCCTTTGTGCACTTGATCTCACACCATCTCATCTTTTCCAAAACTTATCACTATCATCTATCACATGTCTTCAATATCTTCCTCTCTATTGACCCTTTCATAGCATTGGAGAGTAATCTCACCAATCCTCTACTATATCTCTCACCTCCTTTGGGCACATTTCTTGAAAAAACTGTCTAGCTTTAATGATGCTTTTTTCTATCAACACTTCAGTGAGCTCCTAATCATAAAATTCAATGACTCTTCTTCAGTCCTCACCTTAGTTTCTCTGCAATATTTACCTTTTCTTTTTGGATAATCTCCTTTAAAGATATTTGTCATTAGAGACCTCACATTCTTTTGATCCTCTTTCTGTCTCTCTAATGTCTCACTGCATATCTTCCTTCAAAGTTGCCCAGTCTTTTCTGGTTCCTTAATGCATGGTGCTTCCTAAGGTTCCATGTCCTTTGCCATCTTTTCTCCTATCTCTATACTTTCTCCCTTTCATGACTCATCAACTTTCATGGCTTTAACAAACTCTATATTGATACTTCCTAAATATCCCAGACCTCTCTTACAAACTTTATTCCTACATCTGTGAAAACTATACAATTTCTCTACTTGAATTGACACTTCAATCTTAACATGTCTGAAACCAAGCTTATCTTTCTAAAAACCTGATCTTTCTTCTGAAGTCAATTTTTAAAAATTACTTACTTTATTTTTAGTTTTCAACATTCACTTTTATAATATTTTGAGTTCTAAATTTTCCCTTCTCCCTCCACTCCCCCCTCCCTAAGACAGCATACAATCTGATATAGGCTATACCTGTATGATCATATTAAACATATTAAACACTTACTAGCCTTCCATGTTTGAAAGCTTGGTGCCATCTTTGGTTCTTTTCTCCTCTTCCACTCTTATATTCACTTACTTAGTCCCTTCAATTCTACTTTCAAGATTTTTCACATTTGTTTACACATCTCAATTTTCTCTGCTACCACTCAAGGACTGGCTCTCATTATCATTTGTCTTGACCATTCCAATAATCTCCTAACAGGTTTTCTTGTCTGTGCTCTCTTAAAAACCATTATCAGACATCTTCTTTTTGTATAGATTTCATTCTTTTACTCAACTCTTGCAACTTTCTGAAACATCTTCCCTCTTTTCTACAATTAAACTTAATGTCCTAACCTGGAATTGAGGTAAGTGCCTTGGTGCATTTGCTCATGCTATTCTGAGTGGCCTTTCTTCCCTTATCCCTACACATAAAGAATTCCTACCTCTTCTTTAAAGCCCAATTCAAAAGACAAGGAGACTTCTCTGATCCATCCCCCCCCCAGATGATAATGAACTTTACTTGCCTTTTTTCTCATATGGAATTTTACATACTTCTAATGTATGTATAATATATTATTTTGTCTTATATGGCATAGTCTCATCTAAACTATTACTTCTATGAGAATAGGGACTGTGTGTCAGCTAAACTATGTATTTTTCCTCCTAGAATTTTGCATTATGTTCTGCAAATAGAAAGCACTTAATAGATGTTTGTTGAACTATTTTGCCTCATATTGTTTTCCTATTCTCTCTATCCCGGCTGTACCCCCCTTTTTTGGTTGTCAAATGTGGTTGGCATAGGTCACTCAAACCAGAATAAAAGAAATACCATAGCAAAAATCAATATAAATCTACCATTAAAAATACAGTTGTACCATATTTTAAAGTATATTCAAATATAATTATATTGGAAGCTCAATAAGGCAGGAGATGGTAGAAAAAAGGAGAAAAACAAATTGGATTTGAATTTTATTTGAAAGGGACTTTTGATATTAATTAGGAGAGCCTAATGAATGAGAGGAAACCCATCTTTTCTAAGTAAGAAAGTATCATTTTATAATGTGTTGCATCTAACAGAGAAAAAAAAAGCTTACCCTTATTTTTTTATTCCTAATAGGTTTAAAGGAACATTTTCAATTTCCTGTTATATATTCTTAGAATCCTTTTTTATTTTAAGCTTTAGTTTTACTACTATAAACCTTAGCTATTTTATTTCATTAGTTTGACAAAATACACTTTCTGCGCACTCTCTTTTTCTCTCTCTCACATTGAAGATGGTATTGTGTCAAAGGGATTGTTTCCTTAAGAGACATCCACCTCTTCTGCTTTCCTATGTCATGTGTCACCTTACAGGTAAGTTCTCATCAGTTCTGCCAAGGGTTACATCCACATTTGCTTATTCTCTGGTAGCAGTGATGATAATGAACCACTAAACATCTTTACCTTCTGCTACCATCATCGTGTGTCACCATCAAGATTAGAGACTTCTGTGGGGCATTTTTAATGAACTGGGTCAATGGTCCAGAGTTATCTGTTGGTAGAACACAAAACAATCTTAGCTCCTCTCTGTGAACTAGATGAACTTTAAGATCTCTTCTAGCTTTAATATTTCCAAACTCCCTTTTAGCTTCTCTGTTAACTACACAACCACAAACCATGAAAATAGTATACTTAGACTTATACTGAAAAGCTATTCTTGGAATTTGACCTTAGGATGCAGTCCTAGGGCTAGCTGTGTGTCTGAGCCATTCAATTCAATTCAAATCAATTCATCAAAGAATTATTATGTAGGTTACCATGCTAGGTGAATTTCTGTTACTTTGGACTTCAGTTTCCTAACCTGTAAAGTAAGAAAGTTGGACTGGAGTTCAGACTTCCTTCCAGCTCTATAATTCTGTGACCTAAGTGCAATCTTACAATGTGCCTTTTTGGCACTTCATTATCTGATATAGCCATCTTACACAGAATTCTGCTTCATTAAAATATAGAAGATATAAACAAAATAGGTTGTTTCATTCTGAGTTATATCCTTTCATTGAAAATGCCCAAGTTCCTTATTCACTAATTTAGTTCAATAGCCTATGTTCTCAGCCCTGAAAAACTGGAAAAACTGGAAAAATGTATGGCAGAAACTGGGCATAGACCAACATTTTACACCCTATAACAAGATAAAGTCAAAATGGTTACATGATTTAGATATAAGAACTGATGCTATAAGCAAACTAGAAGAGCAAGAAATAGTTTACCTTTTAGATACAGGGAGAAAAGAAGAATTTATGACCAAACAAGAGATGGAGAACATTATGAAATGCAAAATGGACAATTCTGATTACATTAAATTGAAAAGTTTTTGCATACATAAAGCCAATGCAGCCAAAATTAGGAGGGAAGCAGAAAACTGGGAAAGAATTTATCAGTGTCTCTGATAAAGGCCCCATTTCTTTCTAGTCATTGTTAACTATATGAAAGCATTTGATTTTCTAGAGCAAAATAAAGCCTTAAAGGCTGAAAAGTGTATGTAGAACAATTTTAATACATATTAGTGTAGAGAAATTAATTTGGTTAGCTCAATAGCAAAAGATAGATGATGGACTAAGAAATCCAAACATTTTCAGTTTAATGCCCCTTAGAATGGAAAGGGATTTTATTCTTTCAAATACAAAAAAGTTTATTTTTCTTACCTCCTTGAAACATGTCAAAATATTTTGTATCTATAACTTTCCCAGTTTTATCTGAAAGAGAAAAAAAAAGCTTTAAAAATAGTGCATCTGACCTCATTTTTTATCTTGTAATAATTTAAAGCACCTATAGTGTAATTGCAAGGAGATGGAAGTTTGTACTTGCCAAAATAAAGTACCAAGGCACTCAGGATTTGTGGCCAACAGATATGCACAATACAGATAAGAATTTGGGCTAGGTTCATGGAGAGAATTGACCTTGCCTCCTTAGTTCATCACCTTTCCTGCTCAAATCCATTTCCATCTAAGCCAGAGAATATCTTGGAGATATATAAGATTAAAGAAACCCTAAATTAAGTAGTAATCTATAGCAGAGGATTTTAACCTTTAGTTCAGAGGTCAGAGGTTGAAAAGGAAAGATCTAATCTTAGCCTTGGGACCTACTGTCTCTCTCTCTCTCTCTCTCTCTCTCTCTCTCTCTCTCTCTCTCTCTCTTTTGTTAACCGGATAACTAGAAAGAACTGCTATCTACTTCAGAGAATCAGAGAAAGGTTCTTGTCACTAGACCTGAACAACCCAGGGAGCAGAGATGACATACCAAGGGAAGAACAGGCCTACTGAGAGCAGTATTACCTGATATGTATCTGTATGATGACATCACCAAAAGATATTGGAGTCCTGTAGCACTGGAGGTATGTGTTACCCCATCATATGTATTCCTCATGCATGATCCCTCTACGCTTTTATTTCCCTCTTTCTCCAGTGGTGGTATGTATATTTGTGCAAAAATGTGTCTCACATTTATGGGGAAGGGAAGTACTCTATTACAAGTATTTTCACTATCTGATGTTATTAAATGCCTTTTCTTTAACCTGGCTTAATGGAAATAAATTAAATACATCACTGGGTGCTTGTGAGCTAATGTTTGGAATGGGTATGTACCCACACAGTACTTTAAAGCTGAGAGAGATATTATGAGAGTTCTACCCATGAGAAGGGGTGCTGTAAGGCTCACATAATGAAGGGACTTCAAAATTTCTACAACTCTACCTAGGATTCTACAGGAAACATCACGTACAACGTTTGCCTTGATGAGGCCTACTGAGGAAAGAACTGATATGCAGGACAGGAAGAAGAAATCTTAATATGACTTCTAGTCATATATGAGGAGAGAACCCTTTAAGAATGCTTGGTTTTGATTAGAGAAGATGAGCAGAAATAAAATTCTAGTTTGGTTCTATCGAAACAAAGACTATGACCATCAGATTTAGCTAATCATGGGTCACTGCACTGAATCAGGGAGTGACTAAGATGTTCTTGTGTTAGTATTGAAAGAGGGTGGGGATTAATAAATGGCAGTGCTGCTCCAACCCAGGCAGGGGGCTGAGGTGTGAAGTTCAAGTGTTTCTGAACAGGACAATTTTTTATCATTACATGAGTCTGGGTGTGGTTCTATTCTCTTTCACAGAAACATAGGATAGGACACTATTTTCGGTTCCTAGTGCCAGGCAGTAATTAGCCACATAGAATATATGCAAGTAGAGATAACCAGAATGATGTGGCATCAATCAACAGACAACAAATGTGGGAAGTACTGTGTATCTGGATACCATGTCTTAAGAACAATGATTTAAAAGAACTTGAGATGTTTTCATTGAAAAGGGGACTATTTTAAAGACATAAGTAGCTGGCTTAAAATATTTGAATATTATTTGGAAGAAGGTTTTAAACTTATACTATGAAGGGTAGAGTGAGGGCCAGTAGAAGTTACATGGTGTCAGATTTTAGCTCAATATAAGGAAGACCTTAACAACAAGAGCCATTAAAATAGAGTGGGCTGTTTGTGAGGTAGTGAGTTCCCAGATCATTGGACTCATTCAGGCAAACTAGATGAATAGACAACCTCAAATAGTGCATAGAGGCCACATATCTATAAGAGTAGAGAGAATTTCTACATGTAGTGGAGGGTCAGTTCTCTGAAATCCCCCTATAATTCTAAGTCTATGATTCATTCAAACTCAGACAGTACAAGAAGCAGCAGAATGATGTAAGACCTGGCTTCTGCCTTTATAAATTGGGCAAGATTCTAGGGAAAAAGCAGTAGGGATGTGACCCTTCTACCATTCTTTGCCTAAGGCAAATTGTATTAGTTGACAAAACACTCATTCAGCTGGCCAGGATAACACCACTGATGAATTTTTCTTTCAAAGCAAAACACATTTTTACAAGTTCCAACACATTAGTTGGACTTCTAAATAAACAGAATGAAATGATCCATGGTTACTATATCCTGTAAATAAGGGATGAGCTTAATCCCCAAACTCTTAAATGTTGAAAAGATCTTCCATGTTTTTTTTTTTCCCAGCAGTGAGACAAATGATAAGCTCTCTATGCATGAGGGACCATTAATTTTTAAATTTTCACCATCACAATTACTAACCTGTAGGCAGTTACACCAAGGTAGCAACTGTCAGGTGCTAAGAAGCTGCTGGACTAATTGTACTTATAGACTACCTAATTAAACATAACTTTTTTTTTTTACTAAGATTCTAAGAGGGCTGCATTTGGTTCATGGATTTAGATGCTGTGAAAAGCAATAAAATACAAATACTATAGATTGCATGGTGTCCACAAAGAATTTTGAAGAATCATTAAGTTTCTTTAAAAAAAAAAGTTCTTTCCTTGTCCCTAAACATATTGAAAAAGGAAAAAAAATTCTCATAACAAATGTGCTTAGTCAAGCAAAAGAAATTCCATCATTGGCCATGTCCAATCTCTTTTATCTGTATCTATCAATTTGCACTCTGCAATCCATCAGGGATTATTGTCCCTATCTCTATGTAAGGAAAGGGGTACTATTTAAAAATTAAATTAAATTACTTTTTTTTTAGTGGACAAAATATTAAATCATCAAATTTTCCAATCCAATATGAGAGAAGTGATGAAAAAAACATTTAACTTACAATTCACAATGGCAACGTTGATACCCCTTGCAACATTACCCTTCCCTTCACTTATGAGCCTGAAATTTAAATAAGCCTTAGTTAAGAATTTCACTCTTATTAAGAAATGAATATTCCTATCTCTTTTCCAGAATCTGCTCTTTATTATTTATTTCAATTCAATAGACATTAAGTACCGTATGAAAAACTATAAGTACCAGAGGAAATACAAAGTTTTGATAAGCTGTGAAGCTTACCACCTAGAAGGAGGATATGATGTACACAAACAGTTATAATACAAAATAATAAATGATATTATTTTGCATTGGAGGTATATATAAAGTGCTTGTGAATTATGAAGGGGGTAATATTACCAATTGCAGGAGGAAGGAAGGGTGATGAGGAAAGTGAAGGGACAAATGTTTCCTAAAAGAATTTACATTTGGTTTAGGCTTTAAAGCTTAGGTAGGAAATGAGTAAACATCAAAATTTGTTTGAGGAGGTTTATGAGGGGGAAGAAGGAAATAAATTAAGAATAACTGGACTGTGTAAATTCACAAGCAAAATTATTAGTGGCAGACCTCATGGCTACTAAGCCAATGTTGTTTCTACTATATAATGTCCTGCCTTCCTAACTTGATAGTAATCTCCTATTGAGTAGGGATTATATATATCTCTTGCCACATATAGGAAGTCAGTAAAACTTTAATTGCTGCAGTACTTGGAGCTAAGAAACAGATATGATAATCTTCCCTAAGAAGAGGGAAATTGACTCAAAGGATCCTTGCGGTCCTTGTAATCCTCAGTGCCTACTACTGTGTCTTACATATTGATTTATTAATCAATTGCTTTAAATAGCTGATAAAACTCTTACATAGAAGTGATTTACTCCTTATTTATAGCCAGCATGAGCAATTTCATTTTTCTATAGTGAATAATGATTTAATGGAAGTACCTATTAACATTCTAAATCAGATTTTTCACTGTCCTGAATATTTAAGTTAAATTAAGAGTTTAACATGAAAATTGAAAAAAAAAATCAGAAGCATGTTTAATAGCAGGTATGTAATTCAAGGGAAACCTATATTTTAGTCTGAATTTCTATATTTAATGAAACCCCAAATGATGATCATTAAATAAGAGAAGCAAAGAAAGCAATGTCAACTTGTGATCATTTGGAAATGTATACAGTCTTGAGGCCCTGGGCACAGTTGAACTCGATTTCTATAAGCTTGAAGGGGATTTTATGCCCCAAACTTTAGAAGGAATGTAAACGTACGTAATAAGTAAGACTTATCCAAAACCAATTGTCAGGTGAAATTATCAAGCTTTCACTAACATGCTGATAACCATATAGCCCAAGTCCTTGTTATTATTCACTTGTTTTAGTTGTGTCTGACTCGTGATCCCATTTGGAGTTTTCTCGGCAAAAATACTGCAGTGGTTTTCCATTTCCTTCTCCAACTCATTTTGCAAATGAGGCAAATAGAGCTAAGTAACTCACCCAGGTTCAAACAGCTAATAAGTGTCTGAGGCTAGATTTGAACTCCTAAGACCTTTTTTTCTACAACTGTTATAGCAATGCTATTACAACTTAGCAATGTTAGTTTTCTTAACATTTTAATTACAGACACATATTAATCCAACTCTCCTTTTTTAAGGATGAAAATTAATTATTTCTAGCACCCAAACTGATACTTACAGCTCATTCTCAAAGCAAATTTTGGCATATTTATCTTTACCACCACCACTCAGTAACCGATAGGAATACGTGTTAGGTGGGCACGAAGTCCGGTGGTCACATTTTTGTCTTTTGGGAAATGGAGCTGTAATGAAAAGGGGTAGAAAAGTTGGCATTTGAAGAGAAGCAGAAAGGCGACAAATATGTGAATACCTTTGTCTATCTTCTGCAAACCAATTCATATATTTTAGATCTCCAAATATTATTAGGGAGCAGTAGTCATAAACTTCTGTGGATAAACTATTTTTTCACTTTAGTTTTTGAAATTAAGGTGTTCAACACAGCAATAATCTAATTAAGAGATAGGAGTGGGGAATACAAGGGGAATGGTACCCATCTGGGGTGATAAAAGATTATCCATGGTCACTCAGCTAATAAGCGTTAGAGGTGGGACTTGAAATATGTTGACCTGACTGTAAGGATAGCTCTCTTTCCCTTGTACCAATGCAACTTCTCTTACAACATAACATTTTAAAAGGGGAGGAGAGAAAGGTAATCACCCATGGCAGGAGCAGTAAAACTTTAATTGCTACAATTCTTGGGCGTAAGAAACAAACATTCCCCAAGAGGAGGGAAATGGATTCAAAATGGACTCAAATGGACTTAAATAAAAATGGACTACAAATCTGTGTCCAGTTTGGAGTGTTTTAATGCTGTGGTAGTTCCTTCCAAATATGCTATAGCTAATAATAGGAACAGCTTCTAAAGAATAATAAAGAAAAATAAAGAATAACTAGGTGGGGCACATGGTAAATTGGACAGAACAATGTAGGTCTGTGCCTCACACACAGTCTAGCCATATGACATTGGGCTGGGGCTCAATTTCCTCATTTGGAATATACGGTGCTATACGAAATGACAAATACGATGAATACGAACAAGAAGTAAGTGTATGTTTAACCTCCTTCATCTTAAACCTTGTTCTCTCCCACTTTTTCTGTCTTTTGACAATCACTGAGCCCTGGCCCCTTGGAAACCCTTGTTGGTACTGGCTGCACTTATTGGATAGTTGGTTGAGGCAGGGGAGTTAGAATACTGCTTGCTTCCCATTGCCACCAGAAAAAAAAATTCCATCTCTCAGTGATCTGCCCTTCTTTGAGGTCCATACAATCCACATCTTCTACCTAATCAAAATCCTAGGAGCCGTTATCTAGAGATGTCAAGGATATTTGGCTTTCTTTCTCAAAATGGTCTTTCTGCCTCAACTCTTGCCCTCATACCAGGGGAGTGCAACATATATATTGATGGTTTCTCAAATATCCTCACTTTTCAGTTCCTTATATTACTTACTTCCCATGACTTACTCCTCTACCCCAACTCATACACACAAATGTACCCCACTCAAATGTAACACCTCCGTGTTCAAGATCTATGAAACCCCCTTATCTTACCATAATTTCTTGGCTTTCTGCTTCTCTCTGTCTTCCCATACCAAACCTTGCTTTTTGCTATACCATGACCTCCAATCCTTCAATCTCTCAGTTCTCTTCCAGGTCATCACCTCTGCATTAGCCACTCTTTCCTCCCTTTCCCATCTTGACCTTCTCGTAAACCAATTCAACTTTAAATAGACCTCCTCTCTGGAGTCCTTGACTCCTTTGTTATATTGCCTATTGTACCCTCCCATGCGTTGGATCACTTCCTGTATATGCTGCCTTCATTCCTATTCATGTGCTGCTGAATGAATGTGAAGAAAATCATGCAACCATTCTGACTAAATCCACAACAAAGTTATGTTACACGATATCAACGGGGTCCTCCATGCTGCTAGGCAATCCTTCTTCACCTCCTTTGTTAAGTCACTATCCCATTCCCCACAGTGGCTATTTCAAACTTTTCACTCTTGCAACATCCCTTGAATATGCCCTCTACTCCCCATTGATACTGCTACCACACTGGTGCAGGCTTTCAGTACCTCACCTCTGGACTACTGCATTAGCCTTCTGGTTGGTCTGCCTGCCACAAATCTCTCCCTGGTCAAGTCAATCATCCATTCAGCTGCCAAATTGATTTTCCTAAAGCACCAGCTTGATCATGTCACCCATATATTCAATAACCTTCAGTGGCTTCCCATTACCTCCAGGATTAAATACAAAATACTCTAGCATTCAAATCACTTTATAACCTGTCTCTCCCCATTCCTGGCCTTTTCAGTCTTCTTATACCTAGTACATCTCCATGAAATCTTCTATCTAGAGACACTGACTTCCTTGACATTCTCTGAGCAAGACACTGAATCTCTCAGCTCCAGGCATTTCCTCTGGCTTTATCCCAAGGCTGTAATGCCTCCTTTCCCATCTTTGCCTACTGGATTCCCTGGGTCCAAAATCCTACCTTCTATAAGAAACCTTTCCCAATCCTTCTTGGTTCTAGTTTCTTCTCTTCATTAATTATTTCCTATTTATCCTGTATACAACTTGTTTGTATTTGTTTACTTGTCTTACTCATTAGAATATGAGTTCCTCGAGGGCAGGGACTTTCTTTTGCCTTTCTTTGTATTCCCAGGAATTAGAACAATTTCAAGAACACAGAAAGCATTTAATAAATGTTTATTGACTGACTAAACATTTCAGATAAGAGTAAGGTTTATCTTGTAATTGGGGGAGAGACTCTCCAAGCCTAATTCTTATGAGAATGTATAGCATGTGTGGCTGATTCAGTCCCAATGTTGAACATACACAGATAATTTATGTTCGCAGTCTGATAACTGTGTGATGATTTTTGATTGCTTGCTGAGCTGCAACTAGGGTGCATTTAAAAGATAAGTATGAGTTAAAGACAGTTTATGGCAATCCAAGCCTAGTCCAAAAGCATAGTTCATCAGCAAATTCTCCCTTGAAACCAAGGTTTTGGGTCTTATAAAAAAGGGAGCAACTCTGTCCATTAGGTATGTCACATCTGGAAGTGAATTTGATGGGATCAAATATTTTGTAGAAATTACTTTAAACTTGAACTCAGGTGGTATAGGACAGTGTGGCCTCAGGTTTGTTGGGATGAGGGAATGTAGTTACTTCTGTTTTTGCTATAGCTTTGCAGTAAACATCCTTTCACAAGTGCTAATTGAGGTTATTAGTTAAATGAGACTGTGGTGCTAATAACTGGTGGTTAATATTAGAGAGGACACACCCAAATGGAAACTTGAATAAATAGCATTGGAAAAAGACTCTCCTAATGCTCACCCCATGGGTACCCCTAGGACCCTGAAAGGCAGATGTAGATCTACCTTCATTCTGAGGTGGAATGAGGGGAGTCCAGAGTCTTGTTACAATCTGTTACCTGTTCCCTCTACCCCTTTCTCTACTTTTTTTTCTCATAACCCCCATCATAGGAAATTTCGATTTCCATAGTTTCTTCTTCTTTTCTATACTAGTACATTCCTTTTACTATGCCTTCTTTTCCCTCTCTTCAAATCCTCAAACCATTCCACTCTAAGCTGTTTTTCATAATTTAGCTCACATAGTACTTTTTTTAAAATTATATTAGAGTTCTGAAAAAACACTTGTTTTTTCTCTCCTTATTAGAATGATAACACTATGTCTTCACATGCTCCCCCCCCCTCCAATTACTCAAATACATTTACTTTTGTAGGTTTCTTTGGACTTGTATTTGTATTTTTAAATTCCTACTTAGCTCTGGTCTTTTCATAAGAAATGCTTGAACAGTCTTTATTCTATTAAACATTCATTTTCAAAAATTTATTGGGTTTACAAGGTATGTTACTTTTGGTTGTAAGCCTATCTCTTTTGCCTTTTAGAATATTACAATTCTAAGGCCTATTTCTATTTATAGTAGAAACTACCAGGCCTTTTGTGATCCTGATTTATAGCTCTTTAGTACCTAAGCTGCTTCATTTAGGATTTTTCTTCATTTAGGATTTTTTTTTTCGATAAGTAGGAACTCTGGATTTGGGTTATGACATTACTGGGACTTTTTCTTTTGAAGTTCCTTTCATGAGGTGATCAGCGGATTCTTTCTAACTTCATTTTGCCCTCTGGTTAGAACTGTGAAGTTTTAATTTACAATTTTTTGAAACATAGTATCCAGGCTCTTTTTTTTTAAAATAATGTTTTTCAGGGCATTTAAGAACTTTCAAATGATCCCTACTTGACTTTTTTTTTCCTAGGTCAGTTTTTTAAAAATATCTTACATTTTTATCCTTTGATTTTGTTCTAATGGTTCTTGATGTCTCATGAAATCATTTAATAGTGTTTGGTATATTCTAGTTTTTAGGGAGTTACATCTTAGGTAAGTTTTACCAGTTTCTCTTCTAAGTTACTTCAAATTCCTTTTTCCAGAGCTTTACTCAATTTTCATGTCTTGCTTCATTTTTTCTGGTCGTGTATGTATTTTTTCTGGAAAATCAATTTTTCCTTTGGCTGTCTGCTTGTAGTTATTGTGGAATTATTCTCTCTTCTTTTTGAGGGTCTCTAAGTCTATACTAATTTTTAAATACTGGTTTCTTCTTTAACTCACTCACTTATCCAATTTAGTTTCTGAATTGGAGCTTTGAACCAGGGTCAGACTTTACCTCCACTTTTGGGTGGAGTCAACAGCATTGCCTTTTCCTTACCCTTCATCCCTTGGTTTCCTAACCTGTACTTCCTGGGGTGAAACATAGGAAGTATTGCTACAAATTACAGAAGCAGAGTTTGAGAGTTGGAAGGGACCTCAGAGGACATATAATCCAAACCATATCTGAAAAGAATCCACAGTATGACATATCCGATCATCCAGCTTCTGCTTAAAGACCTCCAAGGAGAGGGTGCCCATCACCTCTTGGGGCAGCCCATTCTATTTCTGGACAGCTCAAGTTGTGACGAAGTATTTACTGACATCAAGCCTAAATTTGACTCATTCTTTTTGATCTCTGGGACAAAATGAAACAATTCAAATCCTTTTCCACATGACAGCCTTTCAAATACTTGAGGACAATTTATTATATTCTCTCTGAGTCTTGCCCGTTTCCTTTAATTGGTCTTTATATAGTATGGACTTAAGGTCTTTCACTATATTGTTTGCTCTTCTCTAGAAGGCAGCTCTAATTCCTCCTAATTCATCAATACCCTTCTTAAATGATGGTACACA